AACGTAGGTACTGCACCGTTTCCTCTGTGGATGTTACAGTAATGTAACTCTGAAGTCAGATAACAGCTATAACAGTATCCTCATTGGCAAAGAGGGAATGAATGCAATCACTCAGATGTGCTATTGTGACCATGAAGTTACATTCATATTGTACTAAATATAGGCCCTAATTCCCATTTTCACACCAGAGTAAATTAGGACATTTTGCCTAAATCAAGAACAGAATTTCACTGATACAGAATTGGTATAAGTGATAGAATCCATCCCATAGGCTTCTAATTTTGTTGAAGTTCAGCAGAAACAGTGCTTTTACATAAATATTTGTCTAGAAATGTATTTTCTTGATATCTATTTTGTTTTTACTTGAAAATGTTTTTAATTGTGTTTTCTCCTTTGAAAACTTTTTTTGTGATACACAAGTGTCTGTTTGGAGACAGATGTTGAATCTAGGATATGTACTTGTGCTGATCTGACTAATGGTAGAAGGCTACTTGCTGCCTTTTAATTGAGCGCCATCAAGACATGAACGCTGGGCTGCCATTTGAGTATGAAATGATCCAGTTAGTCCACTAAAAGGGAAATAGTTTTGCATGACTAATTAAAGTTTCAGGAATGTAACCTGTCTGTTGCCTACCAGCTTTGATCAGTACCAGCTCTTTTTCATCTGCACAACTCTCCGATTTCTAAAATCTGACTATGGAACAAGGCATAGATAGCATGACCCATAGATAGCATGTAAACTCTCACAAAGGGCAATCACTGTTCCATCTCGGCCGGTATCATAAATGCTATTTTATGAAAGATGAATCAACTTTTATTATTTTTTTTCCTATTTTAGAATCCTGCATGTGTACAGATAGGCAACCACATAAGCCTGTTTTTCTTTGGTTAAGGAGAGAGTTAGCATACTTCTCTTGTAGCTGAATACACAATCTGGTAGGGATGTCAAGCTGTTCAATTGACCGGTTAAATATTGTCAATTGACTGCATATTTTTTGGCCAGTCAAAGATTATAGCAATTTTACAAAAGGCCTCCATTTTTTGTAGTTTTCTGGACATAAATATGACTTTTTAAATAGCTTTTTGACACATTTCTTAATGGAAAATTTGTGCTTTTCTGTGTATTACTTGGATCCACTGGCAATTCTTTACGATTGATGACTGATAGTTGACCAGTCAATTGACTGAACTTTATTTGACCAGTCAAATACCCAAACCTGTAAGCTGGATCTCAATATATTTGCAATATCTAGCATGCATTCCATTTCTGGTTTGCATCAGTAGTGTTAGCTGACATATTATATAGATAAGAGGCATGCTGAAGAGATTTAGGGTCATATCCTTAGCATATATAAATCAGCAAAGTTCCTTTGAGGCAGCAGAACTGTGCTCATTTACATCAGCTGAGGATATGTCCCCGTATCACGAATGAAAACTAATGTCCCTGAATTGTGACCTCTAGTGGCTTATGCTCTGGTTCTCGTGTGGCCGTGTATCAGGACAACATTAAGCTTTGTAATCCTACCTCTGCAATGCTACCTCTGACCTGGATTCAGTCTCCAAACAATCAGTTCGCCATCTGCTTTCTCTGTATTTCAAAATCCCTAATGCAAACTCCAGAACCTAGTTTTCTCAGATGTTAGGCTTTGTTTTAGTGTCTTTGCTTTTTTCCTTAGGAAATTTTAACTTGTAATTTACCTTTGTTTAGCACTTCTAGTCACAGCACCCGGAGACTCAGACAATGAAACTTCACTTAATGCTACCTACCCTGCACCTACTGAGCTAAGTTACTTAACAATTCCGAGCACTGATTCTCACACTGAGCTGTCAGCGCCCACTGCCTTTTCCATCTCAGAAGTCACTGCCCAACTTCATGATCTAAAAGTAACAGACAGGACATTCAGTAGTTTCACCCTAACATGGGCAGCACAAGATGAGGTATTTGATCAGTTCTTTATCACTCTGAAAGACCTGTCCAGTTTAAACAGAACACTGGAAATCTTTTTGCCGGGAAGCCAACGAGAAACAGAATTTACCAATCTCACAGCTGGCACACAATACCAGATTAACCTCCATGGAAGTGCTCGAGGTCAGCTGTCTCAGTCACTGGAAGCTATAACCAACACAGGTATTTTTTATGGATTTTGCTCGCCATCTGTTCTTGTTTCTGCTTTGAAATTCAGGGTGTCATGTCATACTACTGTTCCATTGCAGAAATGTCAGGCTGGCTTCATAAGAAATGGCTTCCTTCCTGAAAGGTTATTTTTTTGTGGGGGGGGGGGGGGGG